TCATGAAACAAGTGAAAATGAGAACAATTAAATATAGAAAATGTCTGCACCTTGCAACATTATGGATGATAAGACCTACAAATAAATTACATGAACTATGCATAAAATATCTTCAGAATTACCAAAACATGTGATTATGCTTTATTAAGAATCCTTGTAGTTTTATTTTAAACATAAAGTAGGCTCTTGAAAACACTAAAGAATAAAAAGGTACACATACAGATATCCCCACTACATAGCTATCTTATATAGAAAAAAATCTGAAACATGAAAGTAAGAAAATGGTTTCCCAAGTTTTAAAAGTTCTAGAATACTATGCAGTTACTAAAAATGTGCAGCAAGTTATCAGAAGGGGCCAGTCTTTGGAAAAACACATGCTGGGAAAGGTAAAGGATCAGTAAAAGAGAAGACCCTCAATGAGATGAAATAACACAATGACTACTACAAAAGACTTGAGCATGGAAGAGATCACGAAGATGGCACAGGATAGGGCAAGGTCATATCTGTTGTTCATAAGGTCATTTATATGTTGTATTCGACTTGATGGGACCTAATAATGATAACGTAAGAGTTTATATGTTAAATAACAAAAATGTAATTACAAAGAAAGAACCTACAAGAACGCTAACAGGACTAATAAATGAAGTCAACAAAGTTGTGGGGTACCAGATCAACGCACAAAAATCAGTTTTATTTCTGTACACTAGAAATAAACAAGTTGAGGGGAAAATAAGAAAACAATTCCTTTTATCACAGCATCTAAAGGAATAAAATACAAAGGAATAAGTTTAAGGAGGTAAAAAACATACACAGAAAACTACAAATTACTGCAGCTGACATTAAAGAAAATTCAATAGTTAAGCATTCTGTGTTCATCAATTAGAAAACTTTTTTGTTAAGATGACAATACTACTCAAGGTGATATCCAGATTAAACACAATCCCTATAAAAATATTTCTTAAGAACAAATACTGCATTAAGATCATTAAAGTAAAAATAGAAGGATAATTAATAAAATATGTATGGGTACCCAAGGGGGAAGGGGTGGGAGCAGAGTGGTAAGGATAGGTAGGGATGAAACCACAGGTTTTCAACAATTTGGTGGTGGAATATGGAGGTGAAGGAAATACGAAGGATACGGCAGGGACCTAAGAAGACAGGGTAATGATGGGTAAGATCCAATGGTGATTGATTTTATAAAACATAATGCATGGGAACTTGCATACGAGTAATCTCCAAATTATTGAGGAGTAATGACAGTTTGAGGACTAGTTGCATCTGATTCAGGCCATAGTCTCTCCGATTACTTGGCTATGCACCTGAGAGCTGGGTGAATAAGGATGACAGAAAAAGAATTGATGTCTTTCAGCTGTGGTGTTGGAGAAGCCCACAGAACATCCCATGGACAGCCAAGACAATGAACAGATGTGTCTTGGAGAGGATGCAGGTGGGAGTGCTCCTGGGAGGCAAGAATGATGAGACTATGCCTCACATACTTTGGCCATCTTGCTAGCAAGGGCTATTCCTTGGAGAAGGACATGATTCTTGGAAGGGTGGAGGGTCAGCAAAGGAGAGGAAGTTCCTCAACCAGGTGGACTGACATGGTGACTGCTGAAATGGGCTCTTGTGTGTCAAGAAGTGTGAGGATGGTGCAAGATAGAACAGGGTTCAGATCTTTTGTTCATGGGGTCATTATGAGTGATACTCGACTCAACGGGAATGATTGTATGAAACACAGTATGAAGAATAGTATGAAACCAAAATAAAATAATAAAAAAAACCCTCAAATTGACTGCTTAGGAGATCAATGATGTTGTTTGAGGACTAATGTGTATTTGATTCAGACCATAGTCTTTTCAATCACTTGCTATGCTGTTGAGAACTAGACAATGAATAAGGATAAGGATGACAGAAGAAAAACTGACACCTTTGAACTGTGGTGTGGAGAAGAGTACTGAATATCCCATTGTTGCTGTTGTCTTGTGCCATCAAGTCACAACTCATAGCGACCCTATGTACAGCAAGCAGCTTTGAACCCTGCCCTGTCCTGAGCCAGTCTCACTGATTCTGACACACCAACCCCCATTGCCCCAGTTACTGTATCAATCCATCTCACTGAGGGCCTTCCTCTCCTGCACTGTCCCTCCACCGTTCCAAGCATGATGTCCTTCTCCAAGGACTGGTCCCTCCTGGCCACATGCCCAATATCCCATGGACTGCCAAAACAATAAACAGGTAAGTCTTGAAGAACATGCAGTCAGAGTGCTCCTTGAAAGCAAGAAGGGCGAAGCTTCATCACACATACTTAGGACATGTTGTAAGAAAAGGCTATTTCTTGGAGGATATCATGCTTGGAAAAGTGGGGGGACAGCAAAATAAAGGAAGATCCTTAAACAGGTGGAGTGACACAATGACTGCAGTGATGGGCTTGAGTGTGTCAAAGATTGTGAGGCTGGCACAGGACATAACAGGGTTCAGATCTGCTGTTCATAAAGTCATGAGGAGTCATACTCAACTCCATAACACCTAACAACAACAATCTGCAGAAACAGACAAGCTAATTATAAAATTCATATGAAACCACTACACAACATAAACAAACATAAATAAAAATCAATCAAAATCATAAATGTAAGAGATAAAACTAAACTCTCAGAAGAAAACATAGACATAAATCTTCGTAATTTTGGATTAGTCAAGGGTTTTTAAAACTATGACATCCAAGCACAAGCAATGAAAGAAAGGCTAATAAACTGGGCTTACTCAAGCTTTGATTTTCTGTCAAAGAACACTACCAAGAAAGCCAAATAAATGACAGAATGAGAAAAAATATTTGCAAATTATTTATGAGGAAGGTTTATTTTCCAGAATATGTAATTCTTACAGCTCAAAAAGAAAAAGGCAAATAACTCATTTTAAAACTCGGCAAATGATAGAAATATATGTTTTTCCAAAGCAGTTAAACAAATAAGCATATGAAAATATGCCCAGCATCAGAAGGCTTTTCAGAGGCTGCAAATGACACAGGAGCCTGCCCATCTCTTTCAAGGAGTAGTTGGTAGATTCAAACCACCTACCTTTGGGGTGGCAGGATTATTCTCAAACTATTAGGACACCAGAGCGCTTTAGTTATTAAAGAAATGTATGTCAAAACCAGAGAAAAATGCTACCCAAGAAGAGGGTACAATGAAAAATCAGACAATGATAAGTATTAGTGAAGATGTAGAGAAATTAGAACCCTTATGCATCATGTTTTACACTATTCATTCATACTGTGTCTTATAAAATCATTCCCATGTATTACTGTTGCTGTTAGGTGCCATCGAGTTGAGCAGGACTCTTAGTGACTCTATGAACAAAAGATCTGAACCCTGTTCATCCTGCGCCATCATCACACTTCCTGACACACAAGAGTCCATTGCAGCAGTCACCATATCAATCCACCGTGGTTGGTCTTCCTCTATTTTGCCGACTCTCCGCCAACATCATGTCCTTCTCCACGAAGAGCATCTCCTGGCCACATGTCCAAAGTATGTGAGGCGAAGGTTCATCATTCTTGCCTCCAAAGAGCACTCTGGTTGCACCCTCTCCAAGACATATCTCTTCGTTCTCTTGGCAGTCCTTGGGATGTTCAGTGCTCTTCTTCAACACCACAACTTAAAGACATCAATTCTGTTTTCTGTCATCCTTATTCATTGTCCAACTCTCAGATGTACATCTAGTAATGTAGGTCTTGCTGTTGTTGTTATGTGCCGTCGAGTCGCTTGTAACTCACAGCGACCCTATGTACAACAGCCCTAAACTCTGCTCTGTCCTGTGCCAATCACACTGTCTCTGACACACCCATCCCGATTACCGCAGTCACTGAAGCCTTCCCCTCATGCACTGCCCCTCCACCCTACCAAGCATGATGGCCCTCTCCAAGGACCGGTCCCTCCTTACAACATGTCCAAAGTATGTTAGACGGAGCCTCAGAATCCTTGCCTCCAAGGAGCAGCCTGGTTTAACCCTTGCCAGGACAAATCTGTTTGTTTTCCTAGCAGTCCCTGGTATTCTCAATACTCTTCTCCAGCACCACAGCTCAAAGGCATCAACTCTCCTTCTATCCTCCTTAGTCATTGTCCAACTCTCTGATGATAGCAAAGACCAGGGCCTGTATCAGACACACCTTTGTCTCCAGAGAGACACCATTGCTCCTCAGTACTTTGGATTTTAGAGAGTTTTAATTCTATGCTACTCTGTGTTATTTGATGTTTATAATAAAAATATTTCAGATAAAATGAAATTTCATTCTTTAAAAATACAACTTGGACTACTTATTTTGATGGCTTTCAAATATAGTAGGCATTCATATGTCTGCTGAAGAAAATATTTGCTATATGTTCAAAAAACTTCTTTAAATATTACTGTCTTTTACAATCCGAAAATGCATGTTGCAATAATACATATCTAGATTTCCTAAATGATGAGTCATTATAAAGTAGCATTTTCAAACATTCTGCCATAAAACCATTTTACATAGTGATAAATACCACAAGAAGGAACACTGACAAGCAAAGGCATCTCTCCATACAAAGACAATACAAAATGAAAAATTGCACTGTGTCTGATAATATACTGAAATTACAAATTTACTGTTGTGAAGGTTTCTGATCTTAGCTGTATAATGTGACCCTGACATGAAGATACTTTAACTATATGGACACAAAGGCTATTTACTAAAATGTAGGAAGACTAAATTTGTTTGGATTCATGCTTAGAAGAATATTAGTAATACATAATAATGACAACATTATACATGAAAATCTACAAGAGGACATCTGTAATATCATAAGCCTAAAAGGTACATTAACAAAATTAAAGGATGCATACTGCATCTAATTTTTACCTTTCAAACATGCTGTCAGAAAATTACCAGGCAGAAATTAAAACATCAAAAGACAAATGTATACTTATACATATATAGAAAATTATATCAATAAAAGAAAAAATATATATACCTGCCATTCAAACTCACTATCTGACCAGTCCCAGTAAGTGCTAATAGAAGAAGAGACATCACTGCAGACACTCCCTTCGGGAAATAAATCAAAAGAACTGAAATCTTGATCATCTAACAGGGAATAGCAATCTTCTTGATCTCCAACAGAAACAGATGAAAATACCTCCTCACTGCATTCTGAGCTGGCAACGCTGGTTCCACAAGAAGTTAAGTTCCACCTTCAAACACACAATACAAAAGAAATTACAACAAGAATGATACATTGCAGTCCATTTTAAGATACTATCAGGAAATAGAACTTTACTTTTAGGTATGAGGATATGGTGACTAGTTTTTAAAGAATCCTTATCTTTTAACGATATCTGCTAAAATACTTATGAATGAAATCTATTTGGGGGATTTGTCTCAAAGTAATAAGGAAGGTAGATTGGGAAGCATACTGATTTATGCCATGGCTACATAATTATAGAAATTCAGTGGTGAGTACATAGGGTTCATTATGCTTTTATATCTAAAATTTACCTAAGATATTTTATGATAAAAATTCAAATAAAGAAAAATTTGCACAAGGAATAAAGTGAAACTTTCATCCACTTTAAAAAAAAAGGTTGGGAGATGTGTGTGTGGGATTGCGTACCAATGAGGGAGTTTTTCTTTTTGCGTTTGAAGGAGAGGAGCAAACGGGGTGAGGGGGTGGGGAGAGGGGTGCAACAATGAATGAATGGAATTCCAAAATCTCTGTAGATGTTCACTGAAATGAAAAATAAAGAAATTTAAAAAAACAAAAACAACTCAAAACATGACACAGAGGTGATGAGTAAACTCTGGAGTCAGATCAAGTTCAATTTCCTCCTATTATTCCCTAGCTGTTTGATCTTCAACAAGTCACAACCTCTTCAAGCCTGGGCCCTCATCTTTAAAATGGTGTTGTTGTAAGGATAACATGAAAGTACTTAGCTAAGTAAAACACTTAAAAGCGCTGATCAACATATGAATCTTTATTATTAAATTAAAAGGAAAAGGAAGGACATTCGCAAGTACTGAAAACAACCAATACAGTGCACAGGTAGAAGCTCAAAACCTTCTTCTATTTATAACACTTTTATATTAGAGTGTCCAAGTAGCTCAGTCAGTAGAACATTAGACTCTTGTAAAGAACGTTTACATATTAAACTTATACAGGCTCATTGCAAAGGTTTGGAATTAGAAATAAAGGTTATTGTTGTGCTGTTATGTGTTGTTCAGTCTCTAGCAACTCATAGCAACCCTATATACAACAGCCCTAAACCCTGCTCTGACCTGTTCCATTGGAACTGTCCCAACACACCACCCCGATTACCCCAGTCACAGAATCAACCCACCTCATAGAGGGTCTTCCCCTCCTGTGCTGTCCCTCCACCCTCCCAAGCTTAATGTTCCTCTTCAAGGACTGGTCCCCTCTTAAAACATGTCCAAAGTATGTCAGACGAAGCCTCAGAATCCTTGCCTCCAAGGAGCAGCCGATTTTAACCCTCTTCAGGATGAATCTGTTTTCTTAGCAGTCCATGGTATATATACTCTGTACTCTTCTATCCAGCACCACAACTCAAAGGCATCAATTCTCCTTCTATCCTCCCTAGTCATTGTCCAACTCTGACGCATAACAAGTGATTGCAAAGACCATGGCCTGTGTCAGGCGCACCTTAGTCTCCAGAGAGACACCATTGCTCTTCAGTACTTTGGAGAGGTTCCTAACAGCAGACTTTCCCATCGCAATACGTCTTTTAATTTCCTGGCTGCTGGTGTCATGAGTGTTGATTGTGGAGCCAAGCAGACTAAAGCTGGGAACAATCTCAATCTTTTCATCATTCATCCTGATGCTGCCAATTGGCCCAGTGGTGAGAATCTTTGTCTTCTTGATATTGAGCCTCAATCCACATTGAAGGCTGCAGTCCCTGACTAAGCGCCTCAGGTCCTCCTCAGTTTCAGCAAGCAGGGTTGTGTCATCTGCATAATGCAGATTGTTGATACATCTTCCACCAATCCTGATGCCACATTTCTCCTCATAGGGCTGTTGTACATAGGGTCGTCATGAGTCGCAAGTGACTCGACTGCACATAACAACAATGACAAAGATCATCCAGGAGGCTGCCAAAGCAAAGCAAAGCAATCAAGAAGTTAAGGAGCTGAACAGAAGATTTCAAAGGAAGCACAGGAAGACAAAGTATTACAATGAAATGTGCAAACACTGGAGTCAGAAAATCAAAAGGGCCGAACTAAGCTGATGGAACTGAAGAACAAAATCAAACCTCGAGTTGCAATACTTAAGAATGCTATGGGCTGAATATTGAATGATCCAGGAAGCATTACAAGAATATGAAAGGAGTATACAGAGTCTCTGTACCAAAAAAAATTGGCTGACACAGAAGAATTTCATGAAACAACACATCAAGAGGCAATGGTGAAGGAGAAAGTTCAAGGTGCTCTTAAGGAATTGGCAAAAAACAAGGCCCTAGGAATTGATGGAATACCAACTGACCAGTTTCAATAAATAGATACTGCTCTGAAGTGCTATGCTGACCATATTATGTCAAGAAATCTAGAGGATAACTACCTGGCCAACTGACTAGAAGAGATCCAAATTTATTCCTATTGCAAAAAAAGGTGATCAGACAGACTGCAGAAATTATCAACCAACATCACTAATATCACACATAAGCAAAATCCTGCTGAAAATCATCCAAAAATGACTGGAACAGTGCATTAACAGAGACCTACCAAAAATAGAATCTGGGTTTAGAAGAAGCCATGGCACTAGAGACATTATAGCCGATGTCAGACGGGTCTTGGCTGAAAGCACAGAATACCAGAGGAATGTTTACCTGTGCTTCATTGACTATACATTTGACTGTAGATCACAACAAACTGTGGATAACCTTGAGGAAGAATGGGAATCCAGAACACTTGATTGTGCTCATGAGGCAGTCATCAGAACAGAGCAAGGAAATACTGCATGGTTCAGGATCAGGAAAGGAGTGTGTCAGGAATATGTCCCGTCTCCTTATCTTTTCAATCTATAATCATTCAGGAGTGTGGCATCAGGATTGGAGGAAGACTCTTCAACAACTTGTGCTATGCAGATGATAACAACTTTGCTTGCCAAAACTGAGGAGGACCAGAAGCGTTTGCTGAAGAAGGTCAAGGACTGTAGTCTTCAATATAGTTTAAAGCTTAACATGAAAAAGGCAAAGATTTTCACCACTGGGTCCATTGGCAGCATCATGATGGATGGATATTTAGGCCATCCAATTTTTGATTCAATATTACAAATAATATTTAGAAGAACCTTTTGCTTATATTTTTTTATCCAAATATGTGTTCTCTCACAATAGATTAAGTGCAAGAAATGTACTGGGTTAAAAACTATTAACACTTCTAAGGTTGTTGATTATTTAATAAAAAACCTTTATAAAAGGTTTTTACACTCCCAGGAGTAATATTTCAAGGTGATCACCTTATCACACTATACCAGCACAGGGATTTATTTTTTAAAAAATATTTACCTATGGAGACCTCTGGTGGCCTAGTGGCAAGAAGCTGTGCTGCAATCCCTAATGTATGTAGTTCGAGGCCACCCATGGGGGAAGTATGGGTAATCTCCTCCTGTGCGATTAAACTGCCTCTGTACCTGCCAGAGGGTCAGCTATTGATTGGTTCTGAATCTACTGCACATGACAACAACAACCTATAGAGAGAAACAGATTTATGTCCTTTATTTCTCTGAAGAGTATAATCCATTTTCCTTTGTAAATTTCCACTAGTTTTATACTATTAACTAGATAATCTTCATTGTTTTGGTAGTATCATAGGGAATTAATCCTTAAAAGAATGATTCCATATTTCTGATACTAATAAGCTACCGAAATAACTTTCTGGGGGGAAAAGCTTTTTATTGACCCTATTTTTCTACTGTTTCTCATTCTTCATTAAATCTTGTTTTGCCTGATATCTGTATCTCAGTATTTTTAACTTTCTCTTCTTACTTTGTATGATTAGTCCAACTCACAAGTTCTTGATATATGAAGTTAGGACCATCCTAACATTCTTATAGCACCTTCTCTGTTGGCTTTTGGGCATGCTATCAGGAGGAGTGAGTCCTTGAAAAAAGAGGATGAGTAAAAGAGGGAATGACCCTCAACAAGATGGACTAACGCACACAGTGATGGTAACAATGGGCTTGAACATATCAGAGATGATGAGGGTAGCCTAAGATAGGGCAAGGATCTGATCTGTTTACAAGGTCACTATGAGTCATAATTGACTCAAAGATATCTAACAAACTTTTCCTTTGCAAAGAAAAAAGCATTTTCAGAACTCAATGTCATTGAGTTGGAATCGACTCAGAGGTGACCTTCCACTAAGTTCCTAAGGCTATAAACCTTTACAGAAGCAAACTGCTCATCTTTCTCCCAGAGAAACTTATAGATTCCAACTGCCAACCTCAACCTTGTGGTTGGCAGTCTGATACATTTCACACTATGACACCAAGGCTTTAGTAAATAATAGTTGTTATGTGTCTTCAACTCAACTCCAAACCATAGCGACCCTAAGCACAACAGCTCTGAAGTCTGCCCTATCCTAAGCCACTCTCCCTGTCTCTGACACAACTATCCCCATTGCCCCAGTTACTATATCAATCTATCTCATCCGGAGTCTTCATCTCCTGAGCTGTCCCTCCACCCTTTCAAGCATGATGTCCTTCTCCAAGGACTGGTCTCTCCTGTCAAAAAGCCATGTGAGATGGAGCGTCAAAATCCTTGCCTCCAAGGAGCAACTTGGTTTCACTCTGTCCAAGACAGACCTGTTTGTTTTCTTGGCAGTCCATGGTATGTTTAATACTTTTCTCCAGCACCACAATTCAAAGGCATCAATTCTTCTTCTGTCATCCTTAGTCAATGCCCAGCTCTCTAATGCATAGCAAGTAACTGCAAAGTCTATGGCCTGAATCAGGCACAGTTTAGTTTCTGGACTGACATCACTGTTCTTTACAACTTTGGAGAGGTCCCTGACAGAAGACTTCCTCAATACAATTTGTCTTTTGATTTCCTGACTGCTGGTGCCAACAGTGTTGTTGTGAAGCCAAGCAAGGTGAAACTGTTGTAAACTCATTTTTTAAAAAAATGACAAATCTAGTAGAATTAACCAAATTGCCTCTGTCTTACAGTAAGGCATTATAAAG